TTTTTTTTTTTTTTTTAAATCATATGTTGTCTCGATTGGGGTTTGGTGTGATTTCATGTATGTAGTTTATATTTGAAATCTCAAAGTTTTAAAAAATACAGACAAATTCAAGTTATTTGAAAAGCTACCAAACTTATCAAATAAGCTCGGATTTTTTAAAAAAACTCGTCCTACCAAAACTGAGCTTATTTGAATACAGGAAGCTTATAAGCTAACCAAATAAGATATAAATTAGTTTATTTGTGTACCAAACATAGCCAAGATGTCAAGTTTAGTGTTTTGAAGTAATCTATCTTATATTTGAGCTTTTATACATGTGTTACCCATTAATTCGGACAATGAAAAAATATAATTAAATTGTACCAAAAGCAAGAAAAAAGTAGATAATTGATAAATGCTTCTTCTTCTTCCTCTTCCTTTTCATAGTGCAGTACATTTAACACTATTCGTTTATGTAGTACAAGTTACTATTCATTGTGTAGTACAGTGAGATCTTATCTCTAGAGAACAAGACACCAATCAATACATGACAAGTGTCATGTAGGTAAATGTCTTGTCAACAATTATTGGTATGGTTGTTCAACATCTTAGGTTCTGTTCGGCTCTGTAGTGGACCAACTCGGTATTTGTAGGCCTATTGGGGGTGTTTGAGGACTTGTTCCTCATTTGTGGATCTGTTTGGCGTTTGAGGAGTTGTTCCTCATCTGTAGTCTTAGTCAGCTCAGAAAGTAGTCCAGGTCGACTCGAAAGTAGTCGAGGTCGGTATTTGAGAACTAGCTCCTGTCGACATATGACGCTGGGCCAGTTGTTCGACATCTTAGGACCTATTCAGTATATTTAAGGATCTGTTGTTTCGGTACTTGAAGCCATGTCCGACATCTGAGGACATGTTCTGTATTTTAAGGACTTGTTCCTTATTTGTAGTCCAGGTGGGCTCAAAAGTGGTCCAAGTCAGTATTTGAGGACGAGCTCTAGTCGGTTTATTATCTAAAAGAAAATTTGCTGCTTATATGTCTGTTTTTTTAGCATTTTGAGTCCCCAACCCCTGTTTGCTTTTCTACGTGTCATACTTTTATTAGTCGTGACCAAATTTGTAGCAACAACATGCTTTTTGGAGTTTTAAAATTATAAAATGCTTGATCAAGTTAAATTATAAATATTTTTTAAAACTTAATAGCTTATTTATTTATTTTTTTAATATTTTTCATATATAACATATCCAATTAAGTATCTTTGTACATTCTAACATCCATATTATATATATATATATATAAAATAAATAAATAAATAAATATACCTTTATAAATATAAATTAAGTAAAAATATTAATACAACTTTTACAAGTATTTAAATTTCTAAGGATATTTTATATTAATTATTTATTTTATAAATAAATATAATTTAAGTAACACCCATGTAAAACATAAATATTAGCACTACTAATTTATAGATAAAAATGTGTAAATGAATGAATATCATCTTTTTTTTTTATTAATATTCGAATTTATATATTATAAATAATTTTACGTGTCTATGTCTATGTATACAATTAGTACTCACACAACAAAATGTGAACTCATAATCCAAATTCTCAATTCAAAAAATTCACAAAATACAGCACAAAAACACATTTTTTTTTTTTTTT